AGGGAAGTTCCTATAGTACCACACGCTACCCTGTCCCTCTTACGATGGATGCAGATGTGACGGACAGAGCCTGAGAAGCCATCTTAGCACCATGAGGAAAAGGCCGATAAAAGAAACAAAACACGCAGAGCCCTCACGCCCAGCATCGTGGAGCCACCGGCCATGCTGCCAACTGTCTGCCTTAGGATTCGCTTTGGTGTGAAAAGAAGAACTCCATGTTTCAGCATTGCGACTAGTTCCCTGTTACTTGAAACCAAAAGCATTCCCACTAAAACCATCTCCCACTTTAAAACAACTGCCCTTACATCAGAAAGGGAGCAGACAGAGCAATGTTCCAGAGGCTTCAGTGAGCATAAGGACACATGAATTACAGATGAAGTAATTAAAACGGGTCAAGAGCAAACGCCATGTGCGCACATGCGTGCGCGCGCGTGTGTGTGTGTGTGTGTGTGTGTGTGTGTGTGTGTTCAGACGAATCAATCCCAGGGCACTAGCGCCCCCACCCAGGCTCGTCCCTTTCATGGCAGGATGTGCCTCCTTCTGTCTGGGATAAATGACACGGAGCCAAACTAGAACAGTGACATCTAAGGTCAGAGGCCAGAAAGAATCTAAACTTTGGCAAGTGGCTCACTCTGACATTTGGTTTTCTTCCATTTTGTCTCTTTTCCGAAGCCCCTCCTTTTACCAGAATGTGCAAGTCCCTTTTCAATGTTCTCCAGTGGGCGGAGGTGTCCTGTCCCCTCGGTGGGTGGACAGCCGAGTCCCAGCTTGCCTCCAGGACGACACAGCTGCTATTATCTGCGGAAAGCCTGTCTACGGAGCAGAACGTGTCCCTGTAGGGCTCTGTGCGCTGTGGTGTGAAGGGTCCTTATAATGGGAACAGTGAAGGCCAAGGTGTCTATTTTCCTGCCGGGGGCGCAGAGAGATGTGCGTATAAAGTGTTCTTGAATGAAAACAGCCACGCTGGTGTTCCTTTTTCTAGCCTGGTTACAGGGTTTGATTACAGGTTCCTGTTTTAGGACTGTGGGTGGCGGCTCCGGGAGTCAGGAATATTCAGCCACAGCTGCCCCCTCAGGTCCAAGTTCCTTTCTGCTAGCTAACTGCCACTTGTCGGGACTGCCAGCCGCACGTCATGGTAGTTTATCCGCGTGTGGCTAATCGTTCCCTTCACAGAGAAGGAAAAGTTGGCTCGAAACACTCTGCACAAAAGAGACATCCGAGGGCTTCTGTGACAAGCCTCTGTGACACAGCAGGTCACAGTCACAGAGCCGGGACTGCCACGCTGCCGGAGGAGACGGAGTGACTCGGGAAGACCGGACACTCCTTCTTACTGACAGGACATCTTCTCCTGCCTGGGGCGAGCACGGCCTGGGGTCCCCCCGGTTCTCGGGGCACAAAGAAGTGAACTTTCACAACTTGTTCTGATGTTTGCGTTCTCCCCTCCTTCGATTCTTTCCGTTAAAGCGTCCCCTGTTGATCCTTCCCAGCAGCTTTGATTTCTCTGAAGACTGAAGAAACTGTTCCCAGGCAGCTCAGAGGGACTCTGTCCGGACTTCCAGAAGGCCTGAAGCGCGGGCGGGGTCAGGGGCACATGACCTCACGGCCCCGGCAGCGCCCTGCCTCCAACACGAGCCTCCCCATCTCGCTGCGTCCCTGGGGGTCTGAGGACACTGGCGGCTGTGGGGAAGGGTCCTGAGGGGCAGGGCAGGGGCTCCCCCACCCCCGCCTCCTCCAGGCAGCCCTGGTGCCCACTTCAGACAGGAGTTCTAGAATCATTCACCCACCAAACTACAATCACTCTTGCTTCCACTTCACACAAATCCTCTCTGATCCTTGCAGCCTGTTCTTCTTCCTCGTTTAAGAAAACGGCAGCTCTGTCCATCCGCCCTCACCCCAGAGCCCCGCCTCCTGCGTCCACTCACTCCGGTCCTCACCATCCCCGACCCGGCCCAGAGCCCAGTCCTCCCTCAACGCTGGGAAGATTGGCCTGCGGTGCGAATCCGACCATTCTCCCCCTCAGCTTAAACCCCTTTGTAGGCTGGCGCTTCACATCTGGGGGGGCCTCTACCAGCCCAGCGCACCCCCAAGGCCACACACCGTGTGACCAGCCCCCCGTACACACCACGGGCTCGCTCGTGCTGTCCTGTGACCTGGGCGATAATGGAAAGGGGAAACCCTCCCCGTGGGCACGAGGTGGGGCATCTCACAGTCCGGCGTGCATGGGGCAGGTCCCCTGGAGTCGGGGTCTAGGCTGAACCCTGGGGAAATGGTGAGGGGCCTCGCTCCCCGGGTAGGTGCTTGAAGAAGCAAATAAGGAAGCTTAGCGACAAAGATGTGGGAACTGCTCCGTCAGGGACACCCGGTGGGCCCACAGGGAACCGAATCTGAAAGGTTCGTATTCCATATGAAAGGTTGTAACTGGCTGAAAGCTGTGTCCCCTCAAATTCCTATGTTGAAGTCCGAACCCCCAGTGAGGTGGATTAGGAGGTGGGGCACTGAGAGGTGATGAGGTCATGAGGCTGGGGCCCACATACAAGGAATCAGTGCCCTTATAAGAGACCCCACTGAAAGGGCGCCTGGGGGGCTCAGTCGGTTGAGCGTCTGACTTCGGCTCAGGTTATGATCTCACAGTTCATGGGTTCAAGCCCCACGTCGGGCTCTGTGCTGACAGCTCAGAGCCTGGAGCTGCTTCAGATTCTGTGTCTCCCTCTCTCTCTGCCCCTCCCCTGCTCATGCTCTGTCTCTCTCTCTCAAAAAATAAAAATTAAAAAAAAGTTACTAAGAGGCCCCCGAGAGCTCTCTTGCCCTCTTTCCACCACATGAGGGCACAGTGAGAAGCTGCCAGGGCACAAGCGGCAAGATGACGTCCCCCTGAACCTGACCGTGACCTTACCCGGAACCTGACAGCGTCGGCATCCTGCTCTCAGACCCCGGCCTCCAGAGCTCCGAGAAGTCAGCTCATGTTTGTTGCCTGTAAGCCGCCCCCTGTGCGGCATTTTGCTCTAACGGCCGGAACAGACCATGCTCTGCCCAGTCCCCACCCCGGCACCGCAGAGAGTCCTCAAAACCAGACGCCCGCCCTCACCCTGCAGGCAGCCCGGGGCTCGCCCAGAAGGGTCACACTGGTCGGGGCGCCAGGGAGAGAGGCCTCGTGCGACCTAGACGCCCCGCACCCCTGCTCTCCATGGCCACCAGGTCTCTGACATGCTGAGTGCCAACTGCCAACAAGGGGCTCCACCCTGGGCCCCCCGCTCTGCACCGCGTCCTCAGTGACCGCCAGCTGCTCGGCGGAAAGCGGACTGCACTGGGACTCCTCGTCCAGAGCACTCACCTCCCCTTGACAGACGTCATGGTCTGTCACGGCTCGGCCAGCCCTGCTGCCCGGAGGCCTCCTTAAGGCACGGCACATGAGTCGGGGACCAAGGGACATCACCTCCCACGATTATACCCGATGACCTAGACTCAAGGATTCTAATTCCTGCCCTGTGCCTCAGGCCCCAGTGAGCTGGGCGCTTTGGTGCCCGGGAAAGAGTGTTTCTGTGAGCGGGGGGCGTAAAGGAGACGCTCAAAAGTGCCACCTGGCCATTTTGGGTCTCTTGGGCTTCCAAGGGAGTGGCATCCCCGTGAAGGACCTGGGGGTACAGAGGGTGTGGGGTGTCCTCCCTCAGGGGCACATTTCTGGCTGGGGGTGGGAGGGCTGGGTGTGTGGGGTGCAGGCTCCTCAGAGATGCAGGTGTGTGCCTAAGCATGCACGTGTGTGCCTGAGTGTACACCTGAGTGTACACGATTGTGCATGTGTGTCTGAGTGTACACGAGTGTGCGTGTGTGCACCTGAGTGTACACGATTGTGCATGTGTGTGCCTGAGTGTGCACGTGTGTGTGCCTAAGCCACATGTAAGTGTGTGCATGCGTGTGTGTCTACAGCACACGCACACGAAGAGAGAGGAGGTGCTGGTGCGTGGCCCCTGCAGGGCGGCTTCCTGGCCCATCCGAACCTCCTCCTCTGAAATCTGTCCTCTGTGTCCGTGTCCGCAGGAAACCCAGGCAGCCAAGCGGCCCATCAGGTGGCCCGGAACCTGGGATTCTGTAAACGCCCCTGGGGACGGCCGGGGCCCCAGCCGCGCACCCTCCGCGCCAAGCGCAGGCTCGGCCCAGCCACAGCTCCGTGAATACGCTCGTGGCAATGGCCTCGGGAGAAATGACTGCTACAGCCGAGCCTCCTGAAGCCGGGCCGGCTCCAGCCCGTCCCCTCACCTCTCCCCGGGTCCCCTCAGACCCTTCCCTTCCAGTAAATTCCTGTAAACTAGCCAGTCTCGCTGCAAGCACTGCGTTCTGAACACACACACGGGGCTTTACCCCATCCGACGAGGAAACACTCGCTCAAACGTCCGCCACCGGGCGAGGCCTCTCGGAAGTGGTCAGCTTGTGTCCCCAGGCCTGGGGCTCTCCAGGCCTGTGGTCGGTCCCCATCTGCTCAAGGCGTTTCTGACTGTCCACAGAGTGCGTCCTGAGCCCCTTGGAGAATCAAACCAGAGCCAGCAGTCCTTTCCCCGGAAACCAAAGCGACACACACAAAACACGGTGTGACATTTAAGGGGCACAGGCGTCCAGGTCAGGAACTGCCAGTGAGCATTCAGCAGGACCTCCCTCTCCTCAAGGGCCCCGACCAGGGGCGCAGTGACGCTGACGGCCGCCAGGAGCGCGCTGGGCACGCGGCCCCGGTGACTTCACGGGGAAGGAACCGGCTGCAGGGCCACCTGCGGGGCTGTGATCTCAGGCTCTGCAGGGGCACATGTCCCGTGAGTTTCTTTCCCCAACGACACCACCGTTCCCAGGGACCTGGGGTTTCTTAAAGGTCCCCCATCTGGTCGGGCAGCCCCGCGGGGCCAGCCAGCGTGAAATCAGAGGCCGAAGGGGAATCCTGCTCACCGACGGGGCCGCTCAGGCCCTCCACACCCAGGGACCGGGTGACACAGCGCCCGGACGAGGGACCTCGTTACCTTTGTCAGCTGCTGCTCCGAGGAGAACCCCAGGCCGAACACCGTGTTGGCTCTGCTGTCCGCCCACTGCCCAAACTTCTGCGACGTCTTGGTGAAGGTCATATTGGGTGTGATGGTGCTGTTGATAATCACCTGCAGGAGAAAAGCCCAGAAGAACAGGAAGTGAGACAGCACACCCGACGCCAGTGGGGCTCCTTACAAAGGCCTCGTCTGGCACGCCTGGCACCCAGCCCATGCGTCCCCGCTCCGCTCTGTCTGGTCCCGAGTTCTCCCTCTCCTGGCACGTCCTGTGCTGAGTCAGACACACGGCCATGATGAGGGGTAATTTCAGAGGCTTAAAAACAGACAGTCGGTCTAAAATAAGATCTTACAAGTTAGTGGGAGAAAGCCCGCCCCGAGTGGAGAATAGTTTCCAAAACTGCTATTTATTTCCTCAAAGCTGCCACACATCCAATGGCCCCTCAGGGCCAGCCACACCACGCACTCTCCGAGGACCTGGGCTGTGCACCTTTTCAAGCACCCTGAGCGCCAGCGTCCACCTCCAACGACTTAAAATCTCCGTAAGCGATCGCGGCTTGCTGTTTCCCGACGAGAAGGGAGAGGTATGGGGATAATGGGGATAATTTGCGGAGGATTAATCTACAAAGCAAGTAGCCATACAGGAGGAGCTGAGTGTAGGGAAGCTGTTGGAGGACCTGAGGTTAGATGTCGCCCCCGCCTCAGGGGACGAGGGAGGAGAAGGCGGCGGACTGAGGAAGGACAGTCATGGAGAGCAGGCTGCCTTCAGGGGACAGGTGACCTTTCCCTGCGGGGCATCCCAGGATGCACACGGCTTCCCACAAGAGGAGAGCCGGTGGAATAAATACCCCCCCCTTTTCCCCCTTGATCTCCTGTCACTGGCCAGACCCTACCAGAAGCCAGAGGCCCCGGGGACCCCGCGACGTGGGCTACAGATCGGCCTCTCGGAGGGTAGGAAGGCTGAGAACGGACCTGGAGGGGCAAACCCAGCACGCGCTACGTTCAAGCATTCGTGTCCCGAGCATCTACTAACTATCAGGCATTCTGCTAACCGAAGGCGAGATGAAGGAGTCAAGATTCCTCATCTTCTAGCTGCCCGAAATCAGGAAGAGGCAGAGGCGTGTAAATAAACAATCACCGAGCAACGGAGAAGTGTTATGCAATATCAACGAGAGGCTCACTCTGGCAGAAATCCCTCGAACCCCGAGGCCCCGAGGCTCTCAGAAACAATCAGGACAAACCTCCGTGGAAATGAGAGGTTCTTGCGTGTTTGTTAACAGGCGGCAGTGGCAGAGCCCACCACCTGCTTCCTCACCACACAGTTCCTGGTGGTCTGAGCGGGAAGGCAGCGTGCCAAGGACGGGCACACCTCATTTTGCTGCGGTTCACGTTACCGCACGTCACAGATAACTGCGTTGCTGACACACCGGAGGTTTGTGGCTACCCTGTGTCAAGCAAGCCGACTGGCACCGTTTTTCCAACGGCGTCTGCTCACTTCGGTGTCACATTTTGATGATTCTTCCAATATTTCAAACATTTTCAATTATTTAAAACAATTCTTTAATGTCTATTTTTGAGAGTGAGTGACAGCATTGAGTGGGGGAGGGGCAGAGGAAGAGACACAGAATCCGAAGCAGCTCCAGGCTCTGAGCTGTTGGCACAGAGCCTCAGGCAGGGCTTGAACCCAAGAACCGTGATATCATGACCTGAGCCGAAGTCAGACACTTAACTGACTGAGCCACTTAGGTGCCCCAAATATTTTCTTTTTTTTTTTTTTTTAAGTTTATTTATTTATTTTGAGAGAGGGACAGAGACAGTGACAGTTGGGGAGGGGCAGGGAGAGAGGGAGAGAGAGAATTCCAAGCAGACTCCACACTATCAGCACAGGGCCTGATGCGAGGCTCAAACTCACCATGAGACCATGACCTGATCTAAAACCCAGAGTCGGAGGCTTAACCCACTGAGCCACCCATGTGCCCCCCAAACATTTTGTTACTGTATTCGCGATGGTGATCTGTGCTGACTCCGAGTTGCTCAAAGCCCAGATTATGGGTCACATTTTTAGCACTAAAGCATTTTATAATTAAGGTGCATATTTTTGGGGAGCGCCCAGGTGGCTCGGTTGGTTGACCATCCGACCTCAGCTCAGGTCATGAACTCACTACAGTCTGTGAGTTCGAGCCCCATATCGAGCTGACAGCTCAGAGCCTGGAGCCTGCTTTGATTCTGTGTTTCCCCCTCTCTCTGCCCCACCCCCGCTAGTGCTCTGACTCTCTCCAAAATAAATAAACATTAAAGAAAAAAAATTTTAAAAGGTACGTACTTTTTGTGAGCATAATGCTATCGCACACCTAACAGACTACAGCACAGTGTAAACCTAACTTTCATATGCACCTGGAAAGCCAAAAACCTCACTTGCCACACTTTATTGTGACATTTACTTTGTTGCCGTGGTCTGGAACTGAACCCAAAATCTCTCTCTGAGGTGTGCCTACAAATATTCTACAGAATGAATCTACTAGCAGTTTTACTTATTAAGGGAGTGTTTACTCTCCACAGTCAACTCAGAACGCTTTGCTTCTAATTGATAAAACAGGGAAGAAGAAACGCCGAATGGGTACTCGGGTAATAAAAGTATCACTGCTATGTATGTATGAACACGCCTACTGGGTTTTCTAATGCGGCATCAGCTCAGCATAAACCTTGCCCATTGGGCAAAACAACCTCTAGAAGAAGAGCAATGGCTGTTTATTGAGCACGTACTGAGTGCTCTGCTTCTGTCAGCTCACTGAAGCCTGAGGATAGGCTCTCGCCTCCATTTCACAGGACAAGAAAATGAGCCGGTGAGAGCAGAGTCTGGCGATAAAACTCAGGTGTCGGACTCAAACACCTGTATTCAGAATTTCTATACAACGTTTCTCCTGTGCGGGACGACCTCCCTTCTTCCCTGTCTGTGGACTACACATGCCTCCCCTGGGCTCTCAGCTCCCCGAGCCACCCCAGGGTAACTCTCCCTGAATACCACACCCCATGTGAGTTAAGACACGTTATCAAGCATTTTTCAGATAACCAGATTCCATACAGTTGTTCAGGAGCTCTGCCTGCTATCATCTGACACTACCAGCAACCGGGGGTGGGGGTGGGGGGGTAAGGAATGCTTCTGGGACCTCGGAGGTAGGCAGGGGTCTGGCACAGCCCAGTTGGGACCGATATGGTGGACTCAAATTAGGCCTAGGGCTGGTGCGTGGCTGGGCTGCTGGATCAGGGTGGATCCCCTGATCCCAGAAGGCCAACCTTGGTCACCTCTCACCAGGATACTGGGAAGGGCAAAGCAATCCCCAGACCCATTCAGAAACCTGACTCGTTCTAGGTCTTTCTGCTCCTTCCTAGGCCCCTAGGTCAGCCTCCACATCCCCTCCCCAAAACCCTCTTGAAAGGCAGAGGCCGGAGGCCGAGCAGAGTATAGGACACACCGATGAGGCTCGCCCCATACAGGCTGTTCCAGAGTCAGTCAGGCTGTAACAATACAGGTGAAGTCCCTGGTATTTCTTTAGAATACACTAGATCCTAAGGCACTTTTTCATCTGGTCTTCTATCTAATTCCCATTTTTACAGATGGGAAAACTGAGGCTCACCAAAGTCAAACAACATGTTCAAAGTCACACAACTAGTAAGTGGGCACAAGGAATATAATGTATGTATTACTTACAAAGCAATGATGAACCGGCTTTAAGAGCTAAATCTCTCTCTCTCCTGTTTAGGGGTCATTCAGCTTCTCAAATCTGTGGACTCAATTTTTTTTCTTTTTAGTTCTCAACCATTCTATGAATATCGCTTCTGCTCCATCTTCTTTCCTTGCTTGTGGGACTCCAACTCCACATACGCCAGACCTCCTGAGCGCATCTGATGTGGTTTACAATCTTATCAGCTTTCCATCCCCGGATTCTCGGTTCTGTTTCAATCTGGATATTTTCTGTAGATCTGACTTCTGGTTCCCTAATCCTGGCTATTGATCTATCCAATCTGCTGCTAGGCCTACTCACTGAACTCTTAATTTTATTTAGTTTTTTTTAATGTTTATTTACTTTTGAGAGAGAGCGAAAGCGTGCGAGCAAGGGGGGGAGGGGCAGAGAGAGGGGGAGACAGAATCCAAAGCAGGCTCCAGGCTCTGAGCTGTCAGCACAGAGCCCGACGTGGAGCTCAAACTCATGGACCATGAGATCATGACCTGAGCTGAAGTCGGATGCTTAACTGACTGAGCCACCCAGGCACCCCTGAACTCTTAATTTAGACTTTGCATTTTTTAGTTTTAGGATGTCCATTTGATTCCTTAAAAAAAAATTTCAGGGGCAACCTGGGTGGCTCAATGGGTTAAGCATCCGACTCTTGATCTTGATGTGGGTCATGATCTCATGGTTCATGAGATCAAGCCCCATGTCGGGCTCCGTGGTGACAGTGTGGAGTCAACTTGGGATTTTCTCTCTCTCCCTCTCTGCTCCTCCCTCCTCAAAATAAATCAATAAACTTAAAATTCTAAGCTTCTGGGGATATCCTCCTTCATCTACATTGTCCATTTTACATCTCCTTGAATATATAATCACAGTTATTTAAACGTTCCTGATACTGACTCTGACGTCCAGATTGTGCTTGAATCTGCCTCTGCTCTCTGGGTTTTGCTTCTCTTGATTCTAGGCATACGATGTGGCATGTCTACTCATCTTCAGTGTATCGCTGTGAGGGTCCCATGTGATACATGAGAAAGCTGCCCCCTTGGTCTACAGGGCAAGTGGGGAAACCAGAAAAGCCATACTCCACGCGGGCGCAGTGCCGGGTCAGGGCGCGGTCCCAGCTCTGGCGAGGCTCAGCCCGCCTCCGCTCCACTTTGTGCGGGGGGCAGGCCCTCCAGAGCTCCTAGCTGGGAGCCTGGCACGCCTTCATCTCCCTTCCCCGAAAGGCTGTGTCAGAGGTCTTCGGCTTTGCTCCGGAGCCTTACAGATTCTAACCGTCAAGTCTGCCAGACCCTGAAGGAGAAACGGGCCATGCGTCTGGGGCCGCGTGCCCCCAATCTGTCGCTCAGGCTCCAACGTCTCTGCGGGTCCCTCTCCCCCAGGGCC